TCAAAACCGAGTAGGATGGTGATTCCATGCAAACCATGATTAAGTGGACAAAAGTGCTCGGGAAGCCAAGCGACATGAGAAGATTTTGAAGAAAGGGCCATTGCATAGAATCAAAAGCCTTCTTGAAGTCCACCTTCAAAAGGCAACGGGGAGAGGCACACTTACGGCCATACTGCCGGAGCAATTCTTGGAGGAGGTGGATATTATCCGACATTTTCCTTTCAACCAAGAAAGCATTCTACATGGGACCGATAATGTCCATCAAAGCTCCGGCTAACCTAGAAGAGAGAATTTTCAAGATGACCTTGTAGACCACATTACAGCAAGAAATTGGTCGAAAGTCCAAAGGAGAGGATGCATTGGGCGATTTTGGAATAAGGGCAATAACCGAGTGGTTAACCTATTTAAGCAGCTGTCCGAATGAGAAGAAGTCTTTAACGAGCTGAACAAAAATCAGCCCCGATAATGTCCCAAGCCTTCTTGAAGAATAGCAAGGAGTAGCCATCCGGGCTCGAGGCTTTATCATTGCCGATCCCAAATAAAGTCTCACGAATTAAATCATCGAAAACGGGCGCAAGGAGAAGTGCATGAGAATCTAAATCAAGGCAAGGCCTACGAGAAACAACCCCGGCATCAAAGGGAGTGATAAGCCGAGCTGTACCAAGAAGCTTCGAAAATACCCAACGAAAATATCACCTACCGCGGAAAGCGAAGTCGTAAGTTGACCCTCATTATCTTCGATAGCCGCAATAAAATTCTTCTTGTGATTATGGTTCATGAGGGAGTGGAAGAACCGACTGCCCCTATCACTATCTTCGAGGAACTTGCATTTGAGCTTCGGCCATAAAACAATTTCTCAACGACCTTGAGATTGACCAAGGCCGGCCTATGCTGCTTGTCTTATTCAAGGAGGCCGCCGTTATCTCTGTCGGATTGTAAGGCTCGATGAATAAGCTCAAGATCAGCTTGTGCTCGGGCCACATGCTCGGAAATATGGCTAAAGTGAAGCTTATTAAGTTCACACAAAGGCCTCTTCGGATGTTTAAGCTTGCGATAGAGAATGAACATCGGGGCGCCTTGTATACCATGGGCCTAGTGCCGATCAACAAGCTGTCATGGTGAGTCCACATGTTGAAAAATTTAAATGGCTTTTGGTCGAGGGGAGGCCGACTATCAATCTGAAACCAAACTTGAGCATGGTCGAAGAAACCCCCAGGCGGACTAAAATGGACTGAAGTAGGCAGAGAGGAGACGAGCCGGAGGGGTTGGCGAGAACTCGTCAATCTTGGTCCAAACACTACCACTATTCCAAGTGAACTGACTGCTCGTATACATTAGGTCATGTAGACCCGCATCCAAACAACAAGAGTGGAAATCCAAAGTCTCATAGTTAGACCCCGCCGCACCATTATGCTTGTCTTTTGGAGAAAGGATAGAATTGAAGTCGCCGAGAACGAGCCACCGACTAGGAGGATTCTAGGACCAAAGATTCACCCGAAGCTCTCGACGACTAGAGATCGTATGAAGACCATAGACAAAGGTAGCATTAAACTACGAATGATGAACAAGGCTCGCGAATATGAACATACAACCCTTGAGGAGAAAGAACCAAGTGCTCAACCGAGACCGTATCCGGATTCCAAAAGAGGGCAATGCGAGCTTTGGAGGACTCGGAGGCATTAGAGGCAAGCTTCCACCACTTAAGCCGAAACCGATGAAAGCCGACCTAGCTTAGTCAGGCCGAGCTTGGTTTTGACTAAAGCACAAACATCTAACTTCTTCAAATGCATGAGGCCAGGAACCTCATCTTGTTTTAGGGGACAATTGAGGCCCCTAACATTCCAACGGAGGACAATCATAAAGCCGCCGCAGAGGGCGAGGCCCCCTTAGCACTCCGTTTCGTCTTCTTTGTCTTGCGACGCTCGCTTAGCGCCGGGGCTTGCGCCCGAGGCTCTTCAACCTATGGGAGGTCTAGCAAGCCAGCACTAACCATATCCAATAAAGCCCCATCGGTTGCGCCTATCTCACGCTTCGCCTATTCAAAGCCGTGCAAACCAGGTCATGCCTTGGAGGTTGTCCCCCCACGCACTACGCCCGGCCCGAGCGCCGGCGCCTACAAGAACGGGCTGCGCACTAGCACCAGCCAATAGAGGCCCATCCTTTATGCCTATAGCCACTACCGACGATTCTAAGTCACCGAACCCATGCCGGCGTTGGAGTCCGGCCCCCTAGCGCCGTGCCTATCCCGTACCCCGACGGTTACCGGCTACTCGCCTACGCCAACCAAAGAATCCGCCAGCTCTATCCATGAAGGATCTACGGCAGGCATTTTACCCTTGTTTGTTCGAACCGAAGGGGCTAGATGAGATTCCCGAGCTTGCTCATCCGATTGTTGCCCCAACCGAGAGGGTGAAACCCGCCGAGATCGACACTGCCGATTTGAGCGAGCCCCGGCTTTAGCCCGACCAAAAACTAATATCCACTCACCTCGCCGCAACCCCGGCCTCCGAAACTATAGGGTCAAAAGGAGCGAGCCTCCGAAGGAGCGCCCGCAAGGCTAGTAGGCACCGCCGAGCCTCCCCCAATATCGGGCCTACAAGAATCGGCTAGGCTCGGATTCTCCGCATGGCCTACGCTCCGACTCCGGCTGGCCACTAGAGCGGCCTTCCTACAAGAAGTTGTAGAGTGCCCCGGAATTCGAGCAAAGTGCGAAGAGAAGAGCCATTCGGCAACCTAATACTTAAGAATTTTGAAAGCTCCTCTATGATGTTGACTTCAACCAAAACCCTAGCAAAGGAGATCCGTTCCATGGAGGCGAGTAGCCGATCACACCGGATAGGCTTGCCCAACAAGCTAGCCACTTTCGAGAGACATAAAGGGGACCAACGAGTTAAGAGGCGGATTCGGAAGCTTCACCCAAATCGGCACTTGAGCCATTTCGATGAGGGAAAAATCAAAGAATTCGAGCCTAGGTCGTAGCAATAAAGGCCGACCAAAAATCGGATAAGGGACCCCATTCGGAACCGATAACTTAGCTTCTTCGGAGGTAAACTTATACACAAGCCAACTAGAGTCATGAATCGATAACGAAGCCTAACATTGCCATGTGTTTTCGATAATTCCGGAGAGAGCCCTATAGCCCGGAGACTTTTTGACAACATAACCAATCGGACAAGACTTCCACATTTCGCATTTCGAATCATCGGTAAGCAAAGTGCAAGTTTTACTTTGAGTTATAGCACTATAATGAGTGAGTTTCGGGCATAGGGCGACATTACGGTTAGAAGTAAATAGATCACGCCATTTGGAAGACGAGAGCTTGAGAATTACCCGGGTCGGATGGGGGAGGAGAGTGGGGACCGTCATTGACCCGAGATCCGGTGGAGTCCGATGGAGTAGAATCGGACGCCTCAAGCCCTCTACTGGAACAGGAGCTAGAAACATGCCCCTCGAGGTTGGGGAGGAGGAGGCTGGAGGAGAGGAGAGGGCGAGTGGGAGCCGCCCAAATTTTGGACTGGAGTTTGGGAGGCTAGAAACTTTTGGTGGGAAACCAAATTTCCACCCAAACTTGAAATTTCAGCAACGGAAAGTTTTTGGCAAGAAGCCAAATTTTCACTCAACTTTTTAAGGGGAGGGAAAACCAAATTTTCAGCTAAACTTGCAAAGCTGCCTTCCTCATCGGAATCCGGCCCTTCTTCAACGGAGCTTGAAGCTTTTTCATCGAAAACCCCTCCCATGGCAGCGACGAACCGGAGGGTCCGAGAGGGCCGCTGCTTTGGACCCGCCGGGGGAGGACCGACTAAAAACGGGACCGATTTGGAGTCGGTGGCCGGAGCAACCAGAGCAAGGATTGGTTCTGTTTGGCTTGGTGTGGTCTTCGAGTTAGGAGGCGTTTTCTTTTTCTTCTTGGCCATGGCTAGAGGGGAAAAGAACCGAAGATAGAGGGTGGGAGAGGGAAAATGGAGAAGGAAATGAAGGTCAGCGGGGAGAGAGAAACGAGAGGGAAGAAGAAGATGAACAAAAACGGTTAAGGGGAAGGGAAGGCTGGGACGATGGTAGAAAATCGGAGGGAAGGAGGTTCGCAGGTGGCGCCGGCCGGAACTTGAGGAAAGATCTCCATTGGAGGAGGAGAGCATCTTTCTATACTTTCTCTCACTTGGGGTGCCCTTACCGAGAGCTACCGAGAGCTATTTCTTTCTTTTTTTTTTAATTTAAAGGTAAGTATATAAATCAAAGGAAACCAGCTGGAAAAATAACCAAGCAAGAGTAGCATTTACAAGATGTACACAAATTGGGAACAGGCTCCTAAAGAAACAAAAAAATGAAATAGCCTTAAGAGGTTGTTCAAGGAATCAAACAATTACGGAGATTTCGAGAAAAACCGGATAGGGACCATGCTCGGCTAATCGGGACCATTTACATAGGCTCACTAACATACAAAAGCTTTGCTCGATTAAGCATTAAATGAAAACCAACAATGTACAAATGACCGACCATGAATTTACAGGGGTAACTACTAGCTCGACGAAGTAAGGGACCGGCGAAGCGACGGTGGCAAGGCAAGCGGAGAGGCTATGAGCTAGAGGGCTCACCTAACCACAAAGCTGGATAAAAGAAGAGACCGCATGATAAAAGAGAGGGACAACAACTAGCGGGAGCAGAAGCATCGAGCTAGGCAGAGAGCCATGAGTATGCCAACACAAAGGAGCACTCGAAGCAGCTGCCTAGCGCAAGACAAAAGCATGAGGAAGCACTCGGATGGATCGGGAGGGGAGACTAGGGCCACTAATAAATGAGGCCTAAACACAGCAGTGGACTTGGTCCGGTGAAGCCTAATCCGATGTGGACCGAGCAATTAGAAGGCCAAGAGGAGGCAAACATATCGAGCCATCCAAGGCAGTGGACAACCGGAGGCATAACAACCGAGGGATAGTACCCAAATGCAAATCAACCAGAGAGCCTAAGAGCTCAACGACCGGACCGAAGACAATACCACCCATACCCAACCAAACTAGAAGCCGAGCCCGTACAAACAATCAAGTAGACCCGCAACCAAACCCGAAGTAGCTAATCCACAAGCGTAAGCAAGACCAATCAACTCGACCAATCGACAGCAGTAGCGCAAGGAGTCGGCAAGCAATGAACCAAAGCAGGATGAGACAAGCCCAAATAGAGGTGTGACCCCCGACCGAACACGGCCCCGTAACAACAAACTCAAAACGACCCTGGGGGACGGGTTGAGCGACCAAACAACTCAAGAAGACTCGAACCCGAAAGACCAAACAAAAGCAACCCGACTAGAAAGAACTCGGAGCACTCAAGTAGGAGATCAAGGCTCACCCATAGACAAGAGGAGGGGGTCTAATTCATGAAAGTAGAATACCGTGTAGAAGATTATCCGAAATTTACGAAACACATTATCTATCGTGGCCGGCTAAGGCATCAAAGGAACGCCTATTTCTCTCTTCCCATATGACATAAACCGTGATACCGAGGGCCACTCTCCTCATTTTTGCTTCAAGGTTGTTACGACGATAAGATAGGCCTCCGATCGCACTAGTAAGCGTATGCATACCTCTCGCGGATTCGGAGCCATTGCTTGATTTTCAACCAAAGGTTAGCCGTCCAACGACAAGAGAAGAACAAATGGTTAAGTGACTCGAAAGTTTGGTCACAAAGGAGGCATGCGTCGGTGGTGGGTAGAAACTAGAGACGGTTCTTAGTTTTTAAGGCTCCCTAGTAGCAAGCTAGAAAATAAAGGAATGCCGAGGCAGGGACCATGACTCCCAAATCACCTTACCCCGAAGACACGGCGCCCCTAACCGGCCGAAGCCGTGTATATGCAATATTAGAGAAACTTCCCTCTCCCAAGTTCCACCTAGCAAGCTCACATATAGCTATATCTTTAGTCTCATATTTCACAATAGGCAAGTCTTTCACATGAAGAATAGCTTTCCACAACGGCAAAGCATTGCGATGGGTAGCAACATCCCATACTCGGTAGCCTTGCAAGTAGAAATGGTGGATCCAACGAATCCAAATAGAGTTAGCCTTGAGGTGTATATCCTAGAGCCTTTTAACCAAAAAAATTTGGTTTTTCACTTTGATATCAAAGACTCGAGGCCCCCTCGCATTTAGGGGAACAGAGGCTCTTCCAAGCCACCAAAGCCGAAGAGCACCTATTGACATCTCCCGTCCATAAAAATTCGACACATACCGGTGATACGTGCATTGACCACAACGAGCATAGGAAAAATAGCGAGCCGAATTGTATCATGCTCGAAGAGGATGGATCCGAGGAGTTCCAGCCTACCCGCGTAAGATAAATGTTTTCCCATCTAGCTCTAGATCGCCGAATCGAGACTATGTAGCAAAGGGGCAAGCCGGCTAGCTAGCAAGCGATGAGGGCGTAGAGGGACCCCTACGTATTTGAAGGGGAAAGAACCTTCACAAAACCTAGTTTCTTAAAGGATGGAGTCTTTCAAGTTGCTTCTAACCCCACCAAAGAAGATCGAGGACTTGGCCACATTGATGGCTAGGCCGGATACCCTCCCAAAGATAAGCAGCTGGCCGGTCGAATCCCGATGGAGGCGGCATCTCCATGGCTAAGTAACAATACATCATCCGCGAATGCTAGGTGGGTGATGGCATGGATCCCGCATCGAGGGTGGAAACGAAAGTCGAATTCCTTGCAGACAACCTACGGTAGGCGAGAGAAGTATTCCATGCAAACCATAAATATGTAGGGAGAGAGGGGGTCACCTTGCCTAACACCTCGCTTTTCCCGAGAAAAACCCAAACAGGCCCCCGTTGATCGAGATGGAGTAGGAGGCCGATTCAACACATGTCATAATCCAACCAACAAATATGTCCGGGAAGCCTAATTGTAATAGGAGTCATTTCAGAAACCCCACCGCACGGAGTCAAAGGCCTTACGTAAATCAATCTTCATTAGGCACCTCGAAAAAGAACGTTTTTTACCGTACATTCAAAGTAACTCCCGAACCAAGCAGATATTGTCCGACATTTTTCGACCCCCGTGTAGACATTCCGCATAGGACCGACTATATCCATTAGAGCCAAGGATAGCCGGGAGGAAATGATCCGGGTGATTACCTTATAAACGACATTACAACAAAAGATTGGCCTAAAGTCATTAGGTACGGTAGCATTGGCCGTTTTTGGGACCAAAGCTACAATAGAGTGGCCAACTTGTTTGAGGAGCCGCCTGCATTCAAGAAACTCTTTAACCGCTCGCACAAAAATCTTACCTAACAATCTCCCAAGCCTCGTTTGAAGAAGAATGAGGAATACCCATTAGAGCCCGGTGCTTTATCATTGTCTATGCTAAAGAGTGTCTTCCGGATAAGATCCATCGTGACCGGGGAGAGAAGCCGATCATGGATGGCCATTTGTAACCGAGGCCCACTAGCAATAATTTACGGGTCAAGGGGCACCGTAGCTTTGGTGGTACCTAAGAGGTTGTTATAATAGGAAACAAACTCCTCTCCTACTTCGCAATAGAGGTAGTGAGTCGCCCATCTCCCCGATGAAGTGCAGCAATTTAGTTGGCTTTATGCTTCGGTTCATAAGGCGATGAAAGAAACTAGTGCCTTTGTCGCAATCCTTAAGAAACTTGCACTTTAATTTCCGACCAAAGAACATCTTTTCCGAAGCTTTGAGGTTAGCCAAATGGAGTAGAAGCCTTTTTTTCATCCGACAAAGCTCCAAATAATCTCTATCTAAGTGAAGGTTGATCCGTAGTGCGGCCAAATCGGATTCGACCTCGGCCACCCTTTGGGAGATGTGGCCGAAATGGAGTGTGTTCGGCTTCTTAAGAGGTTCCTTTAGAGATTTCAATTTGCGACAAAGGACATACATTAAGGTGCCACTAATTCTAGCTTCCCAACCGTCGCCCACGGTTCTTAGAAAATCACCGCGGGCAACCCATAGATTGAAGAATTTGAAGCTATGGGTTCCGAAGGAACACGGAGCCCAAATGTACCAATATTGGAGAATGATCCGAAAAAGCACCGGAGGGCCAAAATGAACATGAGCGGGCTGCCTAGAGGAGGACCAAAAAGGGTTCGCCGTAACTCGTTGATTTTTGTCCATACATCGGTCCCATGCTAAGTAAAATGGCTCCCCATATAGTTAAGGTCCGTTAGCCCAAGACTGCGAGCAACAACTTCTAAAGTTTGCAATTTCGTAGTTGGAGACAATAGTACCCTTATGCTTATCGACTCGTGATATAATAGAGTTAAAGTCCCTCGGAATAATCCAAGGGCGGTGTGGTCGCCAATGACGAAGATCGGCGTATAACCCTCTTCTTGCAGAGTAACGGAGTGTAACCCATAGACAAAAGTGACATTAAAAGACAACTGCTACACTAGGTCGGTGACCCTAACATTGAGACCTTGGATAGAAAGATTCAACAAACTAACTCGTTATGGTGCTCGGATTCCAAAAGAGTGCAATGCGGGCGGTTCCCGCTACCATAGCATTGGACATGAAGTTCCATTGTTTGAGTCTAAGCCGATGCATATTGACAAGCTTAGCGGAATTGAGATTTGTTTCAATGAAGGCATACACATCAACCTTATTTTTCTTCATGAGACCCGCTGCCTCATGTTGTTTCGCAGGGCTATTAAGCCCTCCGATATTCCAGCTATAGATAATCATGGATGAGCGAAGAGGCCGACCCTCTTCGACCCCTTCTTCTACCCTTTATTACGCCTCTGCCGGCTACCCGCCTAGGTCGAGTGTCTATTACCATCCGTTCTTCTTGTCCGATCGGGGGTCCAAAGTGGTGTCCTCGGGGAAGCCGGAACATTTAGGCATTCGAGCTTCCTTGTTAGAGACAGCCTCGTGATGGGAGGCCCGGACGTGCCACCATCATGTCTATCGGGAGAGCCATTTCCATAAATATCCCGATGTGTTTTGCCCCCAAGCACGATGGCCCCGCTGTCCGGCTTGGTCAACAATGTGGTCGCTCGACCAATCCGTATCCCCATTATCGCAACTCGCCAACCTGCACCGAACCTCAATCTACTCGGTGTTAGAAGGAGGCACTCGGACCTATGGCAGAATCAACTATAACATGTTTACCTTTATCGCCAGCTCGGCATGAGTGTGTTTTACGCCTCATCGTGACCCACTCGCAGCTTCTTATAGCATGGGATCGGGAGGTAGGTGGACCGTGGGCGTGCTCGCCGTGGCGTAGTCACCCGGCCGCCGGAAAACACTAGTTCCGGCTCGCCCGTAGTAGCGTCACTACCATTGGTGGGTTCCTTTCTCGAATCCGGAGGAGCCCGATTTTTGCATGCTCGTTGTGGAATGCCCAAGTGTGTGGTAATTTTTGCAATGAATGGGTAGAGTCTCATAGACTAATGGCTGCAAGAAGGTGGTATTATTCGGTAATAGGATGCCGACCATCGGAGGGAGAGATTCCATAATATTCAGCTCAACAAGGACTTGAGAATAGGAAAGTTTATCCATGGAAGCGAGTTAAACGGTCACATTGAAGAGGCTTACCCAACGAGACTAGCAATCTTCGACAAACACACAAGTGGACCAACATTTGATTGACAGATTGGGAAGCTTCATCCAAACGAGGACGAGTAGCCATCTCGTAAGTGGAAAAATCAAAGTATTCCGACATTGGCCATAAAATTAAAGCTCTCCCATAAATCAAATACGGTCCTCGATTCAAGACCGAAATCTTATCTTCCTCTAATTTGAATTTATAAATAAGCCGACCGATTCATGTATTGTTAAAGATGCCTCACAATGCTAAGTATCCTTGATAATTCCATTGAGGGCTTTAAATCCTAGATACTTACCAAGAATATATTCCACAAGGCATAATTTCCATAACTCACATTTGGTATCGCAGCTTGCAAAGTGCATTGTTTGGATTCGGTAATAGTTATAAAATGTGATAGTTTAGGGCGTAGGTCCGAGTTATGATTACTTACAAATAAATCCAGCCACTTGCCTG